CGAATCACATGGCTGGCACATTTTCCCTTGGAGTTGTAAATGGAAGAAATTAGGTCTGTTACTTCAGTCCTTGTCGAATTTGTGCTCTCGGAATGCGACTCCTGAACGACACCTTGCAAATTTTTACTCTGCTACTCTTTGAGTGACCAGCAGTTTGTTTTCCGTGGCTTGATTAGCAGACCAACTTGAATGCCGTGGACCATGGTGTGATGAATGGAGAGTTGAATGGAATAGTTCGTTCTCTGCCCGCACATGTAGTTCTCTGTTCGAGTAATGAGTTTTTAATATGGTTTAAGCTGACTGATGCCGCCTTTCTGTCTTTGCCAATTTTCCAGTCTAATGGGTTCCACCGTTCCACTTTAAGGCGAAATATACATAACTGGTGACCTCTACGAGTTCTTCGCCACTCGAATGGATGGGGTTCTTGGGCGGTGCTGTTTTTGCATTCTCTTCGCCTTGAAGAGAGGTTAACCTTTGGACCAATGGTGAGGAAATATTCTTGCAACTTCTGGATTTTCAATCAGAGTTCCATTGTGTCTCGCGAGAAAGCTATGCGGTTCTTCGCAATTAACAACTGCATCAGCTGCTGTACATCAGCAATGACACCGTTGCACCAGTTTGGCTGGTGGAAGAGTGACTCCGGGTGGTAAGGCACCTAGGAACGCTCCTCGCTGCGTACTGACGCAACATGGTTCATTGAACAGCTTGATGTCCGTTGTACAGTTGAAGTTCAATTCCTGGATCAGGATAGCGTAAACAGGGTTTTTGCCATGTTCGCTCAAGACGTTTAGCAGAGCCGGCCGTAGAACGTCTTTTCGTAGACGATGAAAGTAAAACACAGTAGCGCTTGATATTCGTTGCACTGCCCTGTCAGCCGCTGAATGACACGTACTATGGTCGATGGTAGAAGACCTTGTATTAAAATTGGCCTGTTCAAGACTTGTAACTACCTCAAAAATTGAAGAGTTTAGTCTTTGGAAAGTGAAGCGCCATGAAAATCTTCATCTTCATCTTCCATCGCTGCTTCTCCTTTCGGGTCACGGAGGCAGACGCTTCAGACAGAGCTTCCAACGTTCCCCATCCTGTGCCAGATTCTGAACTTCTGCAGAAGACATCTGTAGTCTGGAACAGACTCTTTTCATGTATTTGCACCACCAGGTTAGTCTTGGCCGTCCCCTGGGCGTTCGGCCGGTCGGTTTAGCAAGAAAACGAAAATCTTTCTTTTCTTAAACCAATCTTTGTAGGGAATGTTTTGACTCAGGGAGGTGATCGCTCCGATTTATAGGCCCAGGCAAACACTCTAACGAGTGTGATGATGTTGTATGAATATTTTTCTTTCCTTTGCCTAATGCACTTTTTTGGGTACCTTAGGGAACCTACAGTCGTTTTTCTCTGAAACAACATCTTCCAGCCGGAAGCTAAAGGATATTGCAAAGACATTTACAACACTTTTATTGGGAATTAATGGGGAGGGGACTCATTTAATGTTTAATTAGGTCTGCAGTCAAATAAACTGATGTCGGAAGTCAAGAAAGTCAGGCGGCTACGTGTTGTTTATTATTGAAGGAGAAAAAATCGTGCGGTGGACGTGTCACGTTCTATTTGTTCGTTCCTCTGATCCGATCGTGATCTACGATCAAGGCAACTGCTAAGCTTGATCACACCTTCGTTTCCATGCGAACACCTGTTCTCCGGATTTTTC